TTGCTCCGCGTCTTCCTGGTCTGCAGACCAGGGAGACGCGGAGCAGCTTTTCTCGCCCGGAGTACATGGGCGGCGGGACCGCGAGGTCCCGCCGTCCGTGTACTCCGGGGCGAGAAAAGCCCCGTTTGTACCTGCAAGTTGGGGACTGCCTGTATGTTTATACCCGGCGTATAAGACGAGCCCCGATTTTTGGGGGATGTTTTTTAGTATAAAAAGTCGTCTTTTACACCGGAAAATACGGTAAGAGCCTAAGCTTTTAATTAACTTTCAAGACACTTAGGTGTTTTTGAAAATTTTACCAAACAATACATAATTATAAATACACCATAACATATTGCTGTAGTACTAAATGTACTGACGTAGTCTTCAGTCATCTTTGTATCTTTACCAGACAGGTTAATTTATTACCTCAATGTCATCAATTAGTTCTTTTTTCCTGCGACGAATGTTTAAAAGTTCTTCTCTCTCTTCTATCGAGAGATCATCTGGTACTGAAAATAAAACAAATGCATGTACGATTAACAATTGCAGACAAATTAATTATCAACAGTATCTATTAATTTGGCTAAGAAAAACAGTTTTTTAAAAAGTAACTGCAGCACTTCTTTAGCTAAAAATATGAGGAAAACATGCATAGCTCCATTACAACTGAACTTTCACTTTTTAAATCAACTTAACTGACTTACCATCACCCCCAAAAGATTCAAGTACTTAAAGAAAGCAATACAACTACTGTTGGATTCATTATCACATAATGGGTCTTATGACGTAGATCTACAGTCAAGAGGCCAAATTCATAAAAGAAATAATTAGAATTACACCAGCTATGGGCCAAAGTTGTTAGAATATTTTCAAAAGGAGATGCCTAAAATTACCCTATTTAGGTTTACAAAATGTAGAATGCCTTGTAAGGTGCATACATTCATCATATCTTTCAGGAAATACTTAAAATATTTATATATAGGCACCTTATGGAGATGTGGAATGAAATCAGCCTCAGGTTACAGGACACAAGTCAAGATTAAATTTTATTTGGTTGGTTTGTATCGCAGGTGCAGGAACAAGCAGTAATGATAGCATCTTTAATAACAATTACTTCTATCAGCAGGTAACATTTTTATTCATTGCAAATAAAGACGCAGTTGGAAAATATTAACACAGCATCTCACACGTTTCGAAAATAGTTTGCCATATTTAAAATAGCTTCAACTATTTACTTCGCTAAGCTGAAATAAGAGTGCTACGCTGCTGATAAAAATAATTGCTACTGAATGCATATTTCCAGCTGAACCTCAGCCTACCAAGAGCCTCCCACAACCTCCATTGCCCATGTCTGTAAGGCTGGAAATCTGAGGTACTGCTATAGTAACATCTCAGTTGTTTTCTGCGCAATTAGATTTCTCTTTGCTGGGTAGTAAACATCCTAGGGCCAGGCCTGCATCTCATTTGTTTGTACTACACTGAAGACATTGTCATTGCTCAATAAATAACACTATTCACATGTTCTTCTGATTATCATGTACTGTGGTTAACAGTTTGAATGCTAGCTGTTGTTATTTTTATTTAGATGACAGAGCAGCTTTTCTCTCAAGGTTGTTAAAATGTAACTATTAAAACAATTAGGAAGAGTTCTACCACCAAGTGAGATGCATGACAAATGTAGTAATTTTAAGTAGCAAAAGCTTTGTCCTGACCTAATAAACATGCATTTAACAGACTAGAGAGACAAATCAGAAACAAAGATTTGGGTTTAATTTTAAATAAATACATTTGAAATCTGAAGTGTACTGTCTTTTGATAGCTCTGGGGTGGGCAGTACATTTGTAATGGAGAGCCACTCCAATAATTTGGTAAGTGGTCAAGGCTACACCCTTCCATTATATTAATGAAGGAGGTGTGGGATCTGGGAGATAGGTTGGGTGAAGACAAGAGCTGGGGTAAGGGATTGGGGAGTGGGAACTAGGAGGGAGTTTGGGTGAAGGAGGAGATTGTGACCTAGGGTAAAAATGCAGAGGTTTGGGTTGTGATGTGGGACAGGGAATTGGGGTGCAGGGTCTGAGAGAGGGTATGGGTACAGGAGAGGATTCTGACCTAAGGGAGGGGTGTAGGAGGAGGGAGTGCAGGGTCTGGGAGGGGGTGGTAACCTGGGGCAGGAGTGCAGGGGAAGGTGTATGAGAGCTGTAGTGGGGGTACAGAAGGTTTGGGCTACTTGGGATAGGGATATAAGAGGGTGCCAGAGGGAGGGCCTGGGGTGCCAGAGGCTGGGAGATGCTTATCTGGGCAGCTCCCAGCCAGCAGCCCAGTAAGTTCCTTAGTTAGGACCTCTGGTACATGCTCAGAGCAGCTGCGGGAGCCATGTTTGTTTCTTTGAATCGGATGCTATGAGCCTGGGGCATGGGGGAGGAGGGGACGCAGCTACTATTGGCTGGAAACTAGCTAATGGGAGATACTGGGGGTGGGGGCACCATGAGAAGCCTCTCCCCCACCCAGGCTCTCAGCATTCAGAGATGCACACAGCCCGCTTTTCTGAGTGCCAAGTGGGAGAGGGCAGGCAGGGAACTGGCTAAGGCTCCTGGCAAGCCGGATCCAGTGACTTGGAGGGCCTGATGTGGCCCACAGGCCATAATTTGCCCTTCCTTGTGATAGCCAATGGTCAAACTCCCCCCCCCCCCTCTTTCTGTTCTCAATACAAAATTAAAATGACAACATAGCCTATAAGGAAGTACTATCAAGTGATCTCATTTAACTGTTCCAAGTACAAACATTAATATATTACTTTCAATTTAGGAAATGGTCAAATCTTCTATTAAAAGAAAAAAAAAGACCAGAATGTATTGTCCCTATGCTTTTACTCACTGGAAACCCAGCCACTCTTAACATTTCTTTCCAGAACAGATATTGACACTTCTCAAGCACACGGTTATTCATTTTAATCAAGCTTTACAATGATGTATTGTTTTTTACATAGAAGTCTTAAGATTTATAACAGCCAAAAATCTTGAGGTTTTAAATAAGCGGTCTAGGATTCACATACACACACTCTATTTCTCTCCCCTCCCAGATAAACTAATACAAGTGAAATGAATGTTACTTAATCTCAACTGTCAAAAAGGTCAAATATTGGAGAAAAGTCAGTTTTTTAGCTGGGTTGTTCGCTCAAGTCTCTCTAAAAGCGTTTTTGTTATGTAATATGGTTCTTCATTTTTACACAGTTTGCCAAAAACATATAATTAGGAAATCACAATTCCAGTAACAACTCAAAGCATTAATTAGATGTTTAATTCTTGAAATCTAATGTCTGATTTTTAATTCAAAGAGTATGAAATATTTAGATATTCTACTTTGCTGCTGCTTTTTATTTCACAGTAAGCTATAAAATCATTGTATTATCTGCCTTTAGGGATGTACAATCCCATTTAATTGAATAACTGGTTAAACATTACATTTAACCAGTTAACCGATTAAAGTGGGTGCAGGCTGGGGTGGGCCTCTCCCCCTACCGCCTGCTGAGGACAGAGTACCCCCTGTATGCGGCTGACTCCTACAGGGGGCTGAAACAGTTCCCTGCCCACGGCAGGTAGGGAACTGCTCCAGCCCCCATTGGTTAACAGTTAACCTGAACCAGTAAGCATCACTCACTAAGGGCGATGCTCACCAGTTAACCTTTCATATCCCTAGCTGCCTTTGAGGTTTTTATTTTATTTTATTTTATTTTTACACAGGGGGATGGTGCATTAGTCTTGTTGCAGATTCTCTTTGTAGTTTCGTGTTATTTAGTATCTGACTGAGAAAGTTAGAGAGTCAAATCTCCATTGAAAAAAACCTAATTAAACAAACTGCTGCTCTGAATGGACAGGAATTATGATTGAACAAGGCACTGTATGTTCAGGCTGTCTGGGGCAGGGGGAAAATATTCATTTTTTTAGACCTTCAAATATAGTGTTTGTTCTATTTCATTTATTCATATAGCTCTAGAGCAGCAATACAGATATGCTGTTCCCAGACAGAGACACATCCATGTTGGTATGATTAATGATGTTGCACAAGAAGGAAAGTAAACCAAATTGATGTATATTGTTTCCTGCTGCTCTGGGAAATCAGATATTTTTAGTCTGGCTGGAAAAGGAGAAAAGTCAGCAGGGAAAGAAAATTCTAAAATGGTACTTTAAGACATGTCAATCCTAACTGAGGGCTGGGTAAAGAGGGTGTGAAGAACAGCGCACAGCAAAGTGCTGCACTCTAAGTCTGCTCTATGGACACTGATGGCATATTAAATAATCCAAGTTTGCACTAAAGTAGTCCCTAATACACCACAGACTTCCCGTGAGAATGATGTTGGGCAAATCATCAGTTAGGACTTGTCTAGACAATGTTGGGGGGGAGGGAGAGAAATGGGAGTGTAAATCTACAGTGCATTTGTATGGGTGCATCTTCATATCACCGGTGCATCTTCACATCACCCTAAACTCAAAATACAATACTGAAGTTGCACTACACAAATTACATATCTTATTTTGATTGAATTTTGAAATAGGCTATTTCGAAATTTGGCACGTCTTCACAACACCTAATTTCCAAATAACATGCTATTTTGAGACATTCCTTAACCCTCAGGGAATGAGGGTTACTGGGATGCTGAAACAATGTGCCCGTTATTTCGAAAAATATTTTGAAACAACAGGTAGCTTGTTAAGACATGGGGTAGCTGTTTTGGGATGCCTTATGACACATACTAACTCCCACTACAGCATATTAGGAGTACACTAGGGATGTTAAATATCAGTTAATTGAATAGTCGATTAACCTCATGCATTTTTATCGATTAGTTGACTATTCTATAGTCCCTAAGGGTGGGGCCAGCAGCCACTGAATCAGAGGTAGCATAGGGTACCAGGTGAGAGCTGGTCCATAAGGGGAGACAGTTTAAAAACCAGCTCCCCTTGTGGACTGGCTGCCTGTCACCCAGTGCTGCTGCCTCTGATAAAGAGGCAACAGCGCGGGGTGGCAGCAGCCCCTGTCTAAGGCGCTCTGAGCTCATGGACCCAGTGCAAGCTGGAACTGAGCCTGCCCACCAGGCTCCTAATACACTTTAAATGCAGAGCCGCAGCAGGGGTAGTTTTCTACACCTAGCATGAGCCAGAACTGAGCTGGGTTGCTAGCCAGCCTGCTAAAAAATTTACTGGCAAGGGTGGGGGGAGGGAAATGTGTGTAGTCTATAGTATTAACCTAAAAGCTTTTGCTTATCAGTTAAATAGTTAATCGACTACACTATTACATCCCTAGAGTACACCATCAGAGTAGGTCAATGAACACTACAGAACTTTTAGTGCATGGTAGCAGGCTCCATATGGACATTGCAAGGCAGGCTAGCACATTTACACCCCAGATTGCCATCCGTTTTCCATATAGAGAAGTCCAGTTCCTCAATTCCTCATCTGTAAAATGGGAAGAACTGTATTTCTGTCCCTCAAAGGAGGATTGTAATAAATGC